TGACAATCAGTGCTAGATAAAATTTAGCAAATAATTAAAAAATTTACCTGGAAGAACAGACAGTTGAGAAAATGTGTACATATGTGTTTGTAATATGCTATGCATTTTTTCCAAAATTGTCTTAGCCATTCTCAACTGTACATATACTATATGTATATATTCTTAACTGTAGGCATGACAAAAATGGCATGGTGGTGGCCATGCCCTACTTGATATTATAATGTATTCTAAAGGTACGGTGATGCAGGGTGATGGACTGGATGGAGCCTTTGAGAAATGAAGAGTCTGGCTAGAGTGTTTGGAACAAGGAAGCCAAGAACTCCTTGAAGGAGTTTGGACTTTCAGAGAAATGGCAAATCATTTAAAGCTTTTAAAGAATGAAATGTGTTTCTTGAAAAGTCTCACCATGTTAGTGATATGAAAAAATGAATTGGAAGAGGGCCGGACTGTAGTAGACCAACTGGCTATGGAGTTGCAAAGGATCTCTTTTAGAAGTGGATTAGATTGGTGCTGAATACACTGGGGAATGGTGGGTGGGTATAAATCACACTGGGTTGGGAGTAGCAGACAGATTTTGAAGAGGATTTGGAGATGGAATTGACAGGAAGATTACTTAGATATGAAAGTGAGGAGGGAGCAGAGGATGAAGCCCAGATTTCTTTGCTTACAAATACATGGTCAGTAGCATCATTTGCTGAGAAAGGGAATCCTTGGGAAAGAAGCCTTGGGGAATAAATTTCACTTTATGTATGAACAAGGATTTAAGGTGCCTATGAGACATCCAGATAAAAAATGTTCAGTAGGAAATGGAATATAAAGATCAAGTTCATAAAACAGGTTGAAGTTTGAAATCTGTATCCAGAAGTCATTAGTGGGTAGATGGTAGTTCAAGCTCTGGGAATAGTTGAAGTGGTCCAAGAGAAATATGGCAGAGACTGGACTCAAAGGTATGTGGAGAAAGTGAGCTGGCTTCTAAACGCTGCTTAGAAAGTTTGGCCAAAGGTATAGAAGAGTGCAGTGTTAACAAAGCCGAGGACAATTAGTTTCCAAGTTTGTAAAGAAAGATAGGGAGTGAACATGTTCACTGAATTAGCAAGAAGAATTATTGGTGAACTTGATGAGAGCAGTTGCAGCATAGTATTGGTTTATTCAGTGGATTTAGGAATAAAGAAAAAAGTTCTTAGAAGGACTTGAAGGAAGTAATTGCTTCTGAATGAGAGGGTTGTGTGCATTTTTCCAGTTCTTAATATTTAGGAGCTCTTTAAATTTGGTACATGGAACAGTTATTAATCTAATCATTAGAAGAAATAAATTTAAAAGCCTATAAAAGCTGGGTGCCTTGGTGTGCTCCTGTAATCTCAGCTGTGTAGGAGGCTGATGGAGGAGGATTGTGACTTTGAGGCCAGCCTGGGCAATATAGCAAGACTCCATCTCATAAAGGAAAAGAAAAGCCTGTAAAGAAGTTGCTGTCTAGCTTTATAATGTTATTTTTCGCAGTGGTCAAGGGTAAGTCACTTTCAGACTTCAGACAGGAATTCTAAATGGTAAGGAATAGCTGACTTATATTTTCTTAGTATATCTTTCAGTTGGATAATACATATTGAGCACATACTGTGTACCTAGTTCTTTGTTAGTTGCTGTTTAGTGTAAAAGAATTCTCTCCTCCCCAGGTTGCATACAGCTTAGTTGGGAAGAGAGTATGCACATGTATGGAGGAATGAGTGACTAGAACCAAGGAGCATTGCATTCAGTGTACTAGTTTTTATTTTATTTTATTTTTTTTGCACCGGGGATCGAACTTGGGTCCTTGCGCTTGCGCAGCAGGCGGTGAAACCACTGAGCTAAATCCCCGGCCCAACTAGTTTTTATTTTTATTAGTACATATTAGCAGTTCATAATGATTGTGTTCACTGTGGGGAATTGGTACATGTGCATGACGCATCGCAATTCTTTTTATCCCCTTCCCCCAACCCCTCTTTTTTGCCAGCATCAGATGTATTTATTTATCTTATACGTCCTTATAAAGTTAATTATCATAATATAGTTTAACAACCAGATTAACAGGCCTAAAGCATATAAAACACGTAAGACAGTTACACTAAATCAAGATACACTTTCAGATATACTATTTAATTGTCCTACCTATACAGATATTTAAACCATGGGTAGGTAATTATCAATCCTCAATTGTGTGGTATAGGCAGTAAGTACAAAAGGACTTAATGAAGGGAAAGATCAACCGTTTGTGTTATAAAGACAGGCTTATTAAAAAGGTTAGGCTTGTGTTACATCCTGGAGAAGAAGAATGTAGTATGGGGGGCAAGTTGAGACAGGGTCTGACTGTGCAGTCCAGGCTGGCTTTGAACTTGCTGTGATCTTCTTCCTGCTTCAGCCTCCCAAGTGCTGGCATTCCAGGTGTGCACCACCAAGCCTGGCTTGGAAAAAGGGTATAATATTAAGTTGTGTGGAAGAAAGCCAAGAAAGAGGGAAATGCTTGGAGACAGCATGGGATGCAGTCAGTGACTGAGAGGTGGTCTGGGGAGTGGCGGGAGCTATGTGAGGGTGGAGCCAGGCCAGAGCTTTGAATGTATAGAAAGCCTGACAGGGAATGGCTATACTTGGAGATGTATAGGAATTTTGAATGGTGGAAGCAAATGTGGGGAAGTTTTTTTTTTTCTTAAGTGTTTACTTTATTTTCATTACACATGGTCAAACCCAGGGTGGTGTACCACTGAGTGGCAATATCCAGCCCTGTTTTTATTATTTATTTATTTATTTATTTATTTAGATACCGGGGATCAAACTCAGGTTCTTGTGCTTGCACAGCAGTCAGGGAAACCACTGAGCTAAATCCCTGGCCCTTTTTATTTTGAGACAAGATCTTGCTAAGTTGCCCAGGGGAACCCGAACTTGCCACCCTCTTGGCTCAGCCTCCCCTAATGCTGCTGGAAGGCATGCGCCACCATGCCCAGGTGTGAGGAATATTTTTATTTTAATTAATTAATTGGTACCGGGGATCAAACTAAGGACCTTGTGCAGCAGGCAGCGAAACCACTGAGCTAAATCTCCGGCCTGAGGAATGTTTTTAATCAGATAAAATCAAAGAGGATGAACTACACAGATGTCATGAGGCTTTGTAGTAGAGAGGGAGAAATAAGAAGTGCTAATGTGAGAGAGAGTTCAGGTGATGTGGGATTGGGCTCTTGAGCTGTCCTACCTTAATCAAGTAAACTCTCTTACCTCTGTGGCCTTCACTTTCTTCATGTAAAATGAGGGAATTAGCACAGGATGTAGTTCTCCCCGCTCTGCAACTCTGTGACACTGTTCATGCAAGTGTGATGAAGTAATTGGGAAAACTTGTCTCACTTGGATACAAGAAGGTAGGCAAACAGAGAAGTCAGGGTATCTACAGAACTTCGAGTCTTCTACAGAAGAATGATGTGCTTAGTGAAAATGGGAAAATATCAGAGAGAAGTAAGTTTGGGTTCTGTGCTGCCTTTCAAAATCCAAAGAGGGACTCCAGCAGCTGGAGGGGGAGTCTGTTCTTGCTGGCTTTACTTCCTCACCTGAGGATTCTTCACTTTGTCAGACAGAGTTCCTTGTGTTGTTTTCTTTGAGGCAAGATGCAGAACAATTTACTAACTTTTTTTTTTAAAGTATTGGGTTAAATGCCTTATTACAAATATGTGTATCTATTTTCCAGACTCATATTTAATCCAGGCTGCTTAATGATGTCTTGGGTGCCATTTATGAACTAAGTCAGAAGTTTTAATTATCCCCTGTGGGGACTTTGCACTAAGTGAGATAAGCCAGACACTAAAAGGTGATTACTACTTAATCTTGTTTATACATAGAATCTGAAACGTGGACCTCTTGGAAGTGGAGAGTAGACTGGTGGTCGCCTGGGTTGGGAGTAAAGAGTAGGGAGATGTTGGCCAGAGGGTACGGTTTCAGTGTGGATGAATAAATTCTAGAGATCTGTTATGCAGTGTGGTGCCTGTAGTTAATAATAGTGTCTGTTGCTAAGAGAGTAGACCTTAAATGTTCTCACCACATACACAAAAAAAGGTAACTGTGCCAGGTGGTGCATATGTCAGTGACACTGATTTTGGCTATCATTTTACAACGTATACATGTATCAAAACATCTTACTATAAATATATATAATTTTTGTCTAATGTATCTCAATAAAGCTGGAGAAAAAATTATAGTCAATGTACATCAATAATGTTATAATATTTTTTATGTGTGGTACTGGGCTTTCCTACTGAGCTACACCTCACCTTTTTTGTTTGCTTTGAAACAGATTCTCACTAAGTCACTAAGTTGCCTCGGCCGGCCTTTAATTTGAAACCCTCTTGCCTCAGTTTTCCAGAGTGCTGGGCTCAGATAGGTACTACCATGCCCAGCTATTTTTTTTCTCTTTTTAGTGCTAGATGTTGAACCCAGAGCCTTGTGCACACTGAGCACACTGTCGCTAAGCCACGTCCCTACTCTGAATGTTATAATTCTTCTAAAAGTATTTAGAGAAAAAATTGTCGGTGCTTTATGAACGAAGGAGTCCCTTTTAGATTGTCAAACTTGGAATTTGCATTATAGAACTTTTTCTGCGTGTTTTAAATCTGTATGTCTTGATTATATATCTTTATGACTGTGGCCATCCCTTTATTGTATTTGTAAATCTCTTCTGAAACAGTATCACTGCCTTCAAGGAATTACCTTATTTCTTTAGTTCTTAGTGAACTAAGCCTAATAGATTTCATGAACAAAATTACTTTGTTTGAAAAATGATTTGATGTTTAAAAATTAAGAAAACCACCTTGAGCAGATTCCCACATAGGCATTTCTTAAAAAGGTTCAGTGTTGCGCCCGGGGATTTAGCTCAGTGGTTCCACCGCCTGCCTCGAAAGTGGAAGGTTCCGGCATTCGATCCCCGGTACCAAAAAAAAATGGTTCAGTGTAGTTTACTGAATATATTTTGATTCACTTTTTATTTCTAGAGCTCAAAGCATGCCTGTTTTTAAGGAAGTAAAGGTACATCTTTTAGAAGATGCAGGCACAGAGAAGGGTGCGGTGCTTCAGGAGGCCAGAGTTTCACCCAGTGGAATTGATTCCGCAACCTCTGTGGCTGCAGCAACTGCTGCGGCCATTGCAACAGCAGCTCCACTGATAAAGGTACTTACACACCTGACATGTAAAAACGCCTATGAAGAACTGATTCTGTAAGTGCTTATGTCCAGCTGTAGTCTAGGGACATTCTGCTTGCTCTCAATTTGAAAGAATTTTTCATGTTGTGGTTCTATATTATTTCAGGAATTGTGAAAATGAGCCCCTACTCACTGCAGTGGTGCTAGTGAGTCCAGGGCTTTCCTTCCTGTGGTGTTGAAGGTCTGCATTGTGGTGAACATCTTGGTCCTTGGTAGTCTGAAAGATTGGTCATCATATATATCTAGTTTATCAGTTTGTGGTGAGGAAAGAGAAACAGGTCAGGGAAGGCACAAGGTTTACAGATGGCAGGACTAAGACCAGAGCTCAAAGCTGCTGCCCTGACTCAGCTTTCAATGGGTGAAGTAACAAAAGCTACTTTGTTCTGCTATTTCTTCTCTTTTAATTTCCATCTAAATATCTTATTTCTGGATTGTAAATTTTTATATTGCAAATTTGGGGTGTGTGTGTGTGTGTTTGATACTGGGGATTGAACTCGGGACCTTGTGCTTGTAAGGCAGGCAGTGGCACCACTGAGCTAAATCCCCAGCCCTGGTGTGTATGTATTTTAAGAGAGGAAACATGTACCTAAGGATTGCTGTCTCCTGCCTTTTACTTCTGTGACTCCAAAATAAAGGCATCAATCATCAAAAGTAGTGGGTCAAAGGGGCCAGGATGTAGCTCAGTGGTGCCACTGCTTGCCTCAAAAGTGTAAGGTTCTGAGTTTGATCCCTGGTACCAAAAAAACCAAAAGTAGTGGGTAAAAGCTCTAATGTGGTAATTTCTTAATATCAATTGCTATAAATATTTTTTCTAGTGATTGAACATAGTTTTGGTAATTCTTTCTATAATATGGAATACTATTCTGATATTTTTATTGTTTTAGGTACAGAGTGATTTGGAAGCAAAAGTTAATTCTGTTACAGAATTGCTTAATAAATTACAGGAGACTGATAAACACTTAAAACGTGTTGCAGAGCAGCAAACAAGCATTCAGAATAAACAAGAGAAACTACACTGTCATGACCATGAAAAGCAAATGAATGTGTTCATGGAGCAGCACATTAGGCACCTTGAAAAATTACAACAACAGCAAATAGATATCCAGGTATCTGTAACAAACCCAGAATACATCCTGTGCTCTTTTATCATTGCATTTCAAGTTAAGTAGATCATTGCTGTAGCTCATTAGATTGTAAGAGCTGTACTTCTTCATCATACTTCCTCCCATTGGAGCCACTGCACGTTATAGCTCAAATGTCACTAGTGCTGTTAAACCTCTCCTTATAGTTTTTTTTTTCTTCCTTTTTATTGTTTTAGACAGGCTCTCGCTATACAGTTCAAGCTGACCTTGAACTCACTGTGTAGCCCAGGTTGGCCTCTAGCTCACTGAGCTCCTCCTACTTCAGCCTTCTAGGTGGTGGTATTAGAGATGTACACCACCATGCCTGGCCTTTTTCCTCTTTTTGAAGTATTTTTTGCTTAGACCATTTTTTAAAGTGATTGTTTGTTTACATCAGCAGCTTTTAGTTTGGGAAGATGCATCTGAATCACTTGGAGAGCTTTGTAAATACATAGGTGGGTGTTGCGGCATTTTCCTGTAATCCCATCACTTTGGGAAGTAGAAGCAGGAAGACTGCAAGTTCCAGCCCAGCCTGGGCAACTTAGCAAGAGCCTGTCTCAAAATAAAAAATGAAAGAGTCGGGGATGTCGCTCAGTGTGAAGGCCCTGGGTTCAGTCCCAGGTACAGGAAAAAACACACACAATGAAACCCAAACCCCTGCATGCATGGACCTCTCAGACATTCTGAGAGACTAGGTCTGAGGTGGCGCCTGAGAATCACGGAAAGCTAATGATTCTGATCCACTTGCTTTACGTATTTGCTTCTGCATTTCATTAATTATAATACAATAATTAATAATTTGTGGTGTTAGGGATGAAACCTAGGGACCTGTGCATGCTAGCCCAGTGTTCTACCACTGAGCTACATTCCCAGCCCTTTAAATTTTTTTCTTTTCTGTCTCCCCCCACTTCTTTTTTCTTTTCTTTCTTTGGTACTTTCTCACTGAGCTACATCTATAGCCTGTTTTTAATTTTGAGATAGGATCTCCCTAAACCTCTAAATCACCTAGGCTGGGCTAGAACTTGCAGTCTTCCTGCCTCATTTTCCCAGAGGGCTGGGATTACAGCTGTGTGCACTATGCCTGGCTAAGAATGAATGTTCTTTTTTTTTTTTTGGTACCGGGGATTGAACTCAGGACCTTGCACTTGCAAGGCAGGCGCCGGAACCACTGAGCTAGATCTCTGGCCCAAGAATGACTGTTCTTTATGCCTTTTGAGAATGAGACATTAGCCTATTATGAAAAGAAGAGTTGTCCTCACAAAGAGCTGATCACACAGTTACTTATTTTGGAACTTCTAAATCTTGAAACATTACCTAGCCCTCAACCTTTTTTTAAATAAAGGAGTAAATGACCATTGTAAATTTATATTTTTTCTAATTAATGTGCAATTTAAAAACTTTAAAAATTATAATATATAACCAGAAGAATATACAAAAATGTTTATTATATCAATATATTATTATGAAATGAACACTAAGTACTATAATTTTCAGGACTTCTTTTGTTGTTATTTTTGAGACAGGGTCTTGTTTTGTAGTTCAGACTGGCCTTGAACTGACTATGGTAGCCCAGGCTGGCCTCAAACTCAACAGCAATCCTCCTGCATCGGCCTCCTGAGTGCTGGAATTACAGGCGAGCACCACCATGCCCAGCCTTAGGAGTTCTTTTTTTTTTTTTTCTGTTACCGGGGATTGAACTCAGGACCTTGCACTTGTGAGGCAGGCGTGGTGCCACTGGGCTAAAACCCTGGCCCAACTAGGATTTCTTAGCAGGGCCTGCTTTGAGCTTTTCATAAGATTGAAAAGAGTGTCGGGCTGATTGTAGACATATGATAAAGTCTTAGTAAGTAGCCAAAGCAGGACTAAAACTGAGTGTGCAAGCTGTATGGTGGCGCAGGCCTGTGAGGCCAGCACTCAGGAAGCTGAGGCAGGAGACTGAAAGTTTGAGTTTAGCTTGGGCAATTTAGCAACTTATTTGAGAGAGGGCTGAGAATGTAGCTCTCTGCAAAGGCCCTGGGTTCAATCCATTGTACTGCAAGTGAATGAATGAAAAAATAAATAAAATACAATTGAATGTGCAGCATATTATCTTGTGCAGGCCAGGAATGAATTGGTCAGAGTGTATTTTTGCCAGTCCATAAATAACTTCTCTGAGCTGTATTTCTTTAGCTAAAATTTGTTGTTGTTCAGGGATTCTTTTGTTGCTGCTGTTGTTGTGTGGTCTTGCTGTGGCCTTGCTCACACTATGTCAGTGATGTACCACTGAGTTACATGTTGGTTTTTTAAACAATTTTATTTTCGAGTGGTGGTGCATCCCTGTAATCCCAGGACTCAGGAGGCTGAGACAGGAGGATCACTGCAAGTTTGAGGTCAGCCTGGGCTGCACAGTGAGTTCAAGGCCAGTCTGAACTGCATAGTGAGACTGTCTCAGAGTAAATAAACAAAATAAAATGAAAATGGATAAAATAAAATGTACCATTCAGGATTGAAAAGGTGAGATGTTTTCCTTCTAAATTTTTTGGTTGGGTCGCTCCTCCTTGGTCTACGTTTAGCCTGGTGCGGTGGCCCCTAAGGTATCTGTGAGGCGGGAAGGAAGGCGCAGAAGTTGAGAATGGTTACAGAAAAGGGTTCAGGTCTTACAGCAGTCAGGTCTTACCTTGTCCCTGGAACCCTTTGTCCTCCCCAGGGCATCCCCGCTGTTACCACAGTGAGAGTTGCTTTGTAAAGGTCTGCATTTTCCTTGTTTATTAAATGTAAGAAATTGATTTCAAGTCTGCTAATAAATCTCAATACATTTTGTTATCTGAGCCTTTCAGATGATATTTCAAATTAACAAAACGATCTTATTTCTTGTAGACTCATTTTATTAGTGCTGCACTCAAGACCAGTACTTGTCCACCCGCCAGCATGCTCCCCTCCAGAGCAGTGGAAAAGCATTCCATAAAACCAGAACATCTTCATCTTGGTAACAGTGTGCTGTCTTCACATAACACAATTGCTTCTAAACAAGGTGAAAATATTTAGTTTCTTATGAATGAAAATGTCAGTCATGAGTTTTCTTCATGCTGTGAAGCTAAAAACTTATTTACTAAGTGCTAGGAGTTCTTTATACAATTTCTTTGTAGAAGTCCTTTTTTTCTTTTTCTTTTTCGGTGGTGCTGGAATTAGAACCCAGGGCCTTAGCATTGAGCCATATCCCCAGCCCTTTTTTCTTTTGAGACAGGACCTGGTTCTTTTGAACCAGGCAGGGTTCAGACTTGCACTCCTCCTGCCTCAGCCACCCAGCCTGCTGGGACTACAGGTGTGCACCATCATGCCTGGTTTGTAGGAGTCTTTGTTTTATAGAATTAGTTCTTTTCTTAGGTCAAGTAAATCTTGGGTTATTTTGCAACTTGTTCAAATTATGTCCTAATGTCCTAATTTATGGTTTTAATTAATAACCTACATAAGTGGTCAGAACATTAACACATTTAGAAAAAATTTACTTTCGTTTTATGAGAAATACTTGTAATACAGTTCTTTAGTTTTCTGAGAAGGTTCATATGTACTTTTTTCTTGATTCTGCCAGTGAAAACCCCACCTAAGTACTAAACTACTGTAGCCCCCCCTTCGCTGCAGTTTTCCTTGCTGATGATGTTTCAGTTATCTAGTCCTCTTGGTCTAAAATATTAAATGGAAAGTCCAGAAACAAATTGTTCATAAGATTTAAGTTGGATGTTGTTGTGAGTAATGTCATGAAATTTGCTGTTGTTAGGTTCAGTCCTGCCCAGGATGAGAAGCATCTCTTTGTCTGGGTATCTGCACTGTTCTGTATGTGTGGACAGGAAAAACTGAGTAGTGTATGCAGGGCTTGGTGTTGTCGGTGGCCGCAGGCATCCACTCAGAGTCTTGGAACATAGCTCCCAGGGATAAGGAAGGGGTTGGGGGCTACCAGATTTTTAAATATTTCTGGAGTTACTAATGCAAATCTGTTTACCTTTCGGAATTATTTATAATAAAAGAGGAATATGTAGCTTACTAAACCTTTAGAATTCAAAATAAACTAATATGTTTCCAAATTGTTGATATATGTATAATGAATTAAAGAAAATCAAGGAACTCTCCTTTTAATATAGGTCCATGTATTTTCAACATCTGATTTTTTAGAAAATCATTGTAGTAGAGTTATTAAAGTATCCTTATAAGGTGGTGTATATATTGCAGAAATGAATAATCCTTACGAAACTGTTGGGAGGTAATCTGAGTCAGTTTTCAAGTTGGGATGAGAGAAAAATGAAGCAGGAAACATCATGACCTGCCTGCTTCAGGTCCCTGGCTTGGCAAGAAGGTGTCAGAATGAGCCCAAGGCTGTGGATTTCTGCATGACCCAGGCCATTCGCCTTCTGTAGAAGTGGGCACTTTGTTTCTAGTGTACTTACTCAGTACCAGAGAATTACTTGCTCATAATTTTGTTTTTTTGACTTGAGTTTAAAGGAAAAATGTCTTTTTTTATTGATGGCATATGTTTACTTGGTTTGTTTCTTTGTATATATTGGTTACAATAAGAATAGTCTATTGAATAACTATTCCACAATTTATTTGACCATTTTCTTGTGGGACAATTAGGCAGGGTTTACTTGGTTTGTTTCTTTGTATATATTGGTTACAATAAGAATAGTCTATTGAATAACTATTCCACGATTTATTTGACCATTTTCTTGTGGGACAATTAGGCAGGGTTTTAAAAAAAATTATTTATTTATTTTAATGAGGCAGTTTTTGTTTTCTTTTTTATAAATAATATGTAGTGAACAGTGCCATATATTGAACATTTTCCATTTTTCATGTTATTTCCTTAGGATAAACTCTCAAGAGTAAGATCATTAGGTCAAAGTGTATTGCCAGATGGTTTGCCAGTTTCCCTTGTCATGGAAACATGTAGCTGTGCCATTTTCACCACAGCTTTGATAGTACTAAATATATCATATTGATTCTTGTTTACTAGCTGTAAGTGTAAAATGGTTATAATCTTCATTTCTTTTGGTCTTTAATAAGGATGAAGTTATTTCTATACACTTGTTAATAATTTGTGTAACCTGTGAGTTTTGATTTTATTTTTAAAGTAGAGGGGAGAATAATACCCTATGACTTAAAGATTTTAGCAAAGTAACTTAAATTTATTATTTTCTATTAAAGCAACTTTAAGAAAGATTGAAGATATGGAGTTTGATGAGCTGAAATCTCCTTTGGAGACACCAGCTCCTCGTAGGTTTGCTCCTGTACCTGTTTCGAGGGATGGCAAAATATCAAAGAGGGAGAATCTAATAGAAGAAAAAGAAAATATGGAAAAATCAGATCATGGAGGTAAGAAAGCAATTATAATTAGACTCATGTTTTACTACTCTTCTTTCAAATTAGAAAATTGTCCTGAGATCTTTCTCATTGACGATTTGGAATTCTCTATATGCCTAACAGTAACCTGGTATCTGTATTTTCAGTATTTTTCTTTAAATTATACTTACTGGGCAAGCCAAGGTTATTTAGATTCTCTGTAGGAGTTAACAGTATACATTTACAATTATTCTATCTCCTTAAGTTATTACTAAACCTTTAATGAACAAGTTTTGTTATTAATAAATAAACATTGCTTTGCTAAAGGTAAGGCTGCACATTTTTAGACCATGTTTCCTAATATTGTTTTTAGGTATGAATTTCAGTAGTAAAACTCAGGGAAATTAATATTATTCTGTTTAGCTAGAAAATATGTTGATAGATGAATTTTTGGTAGAGAACAAGAACTTTATAAGTGATCTGAAATAATAGGGTGCTGCAGAGCCTTAAAATGTACCTTCTAGTAAAAGTAAGTGAAACATACTAAGCTGTGGGCTTTTGTTCTTAGAATCATTTAAATGCATTGAAATTTTACCTTAAGCAAGTTTTAAGAATTTAGAAGATAATAAATCTTTAATAAATAAACCAACCTCATCAAAAGATTATGTAAAATTATTAAATTTTTAAAATTCTGTGAAATCAAGACTAGTGGGGGAGAAACAGATCTCATGTTTACTAACTTATAAAAATAGCCCAATTTGCTGAGCTTTATGATGATGACACTTCATGTGATGGAGATAAATTCAGGTTTCTTACACAGAGAATTCAAACTTAACAGTAATGCTCTTGCGATGTTTAATATTTAGTTTTATTTGGTGAGTGTATTTATAGTCTACTTTGTTGTCTTAGTCTTTTTTCTGTTGCTGTATTGGAATCATGTAGGTTGGGTATTTAAAAAGAAGAAGAGGTTTATTTAGCTCATGATTCTGGAAATCCAAGGGTACAGCACTGGCATCTCTTGGCCTGGTTTGTGACATGGTGGAGGCTGCACTGAGAGAAAGTAAGCCAGAGAGAGCTTGGTTTATGATAAGGCCACTCACGTGATAATGCATTTTTTTATGATTTGGATCTAAAATGTACCCCCAGATTCTCATGTGTTTGGAAGGTGGCTGTATCCTGGAGGTACTTTAGCTGACTGGCACTTAGGAGGTGGGGCCTGGTTGGACTTGGATCTCTGAGGGCTAGGAAGTGACATGGAAGGGTACATTCCTGTCCCTGGCTCTTCCTTTCATGTTCTCTGTTTCTTAGTTGCCCTAGTTGAGCATCTTTTCCTCCGTCATGCCATCTGCTGTTCTGTCTCTGCCTTGGAGCTAGGGGACCATGGACAGAAACCATGAGTACAATAAATCTCTCCTCTAAACTGAGTGTTGGGTATTTTGTCCAGCAGTGGGAAAGTGACAAGTGAATGGATTAATCCATTTGTGAGCGCACAATCCTCGTGACCCAGTTGCCTCCAGGAGGTCCTACCTCTCAAGTACTGTCAACATATGACCTTGAGGATCAAGTCTTCAACACATGAAATTTGGGGAACCACATGCATGCCATAGCAATTTTAGGGTGAATAGATACTCATCAAAAGAAGCTACTTTAGGCCTGAATGCAATTATATGTGAGAAGTTTTATAAAAGAGAAGTGAATTAATATTTGGAAAATGATACTATATTTCTTCTGTTGTAGGAAATGTGAGACTATTAGAGCAGATTTTAAATAATAATGATTTTTCCACAAGAAAAAGTGAATCATCAAATATAACTTCACTAAGTAGGTCAAAAATTGGATGGAATCCTGAGAGAAAAGACAGGTAAGAGTAAGAGATTAGAATGAAAGCAAGACTGCAAAGAGCTTTGTTCACATTTGTAAAATATCTTTAGGAATTTAAATAAATTACATCATTACTTTTGAAAATTATGTTTGATTTAGTTACCATTTTCTAATGCTATTATCTTTTTTCTATCATGAAATTATAGAAATGAATATTTCATTTTCTCAAAATGTAGATTATTAATTTTTAATAAATGTAGATTCTCATGAAGTGATATCTGGGATTTGCTAGCCAATGATTTAGAGAAGAAGGAGGAAGAGAGTGTAGAAGAATGAGGATAGCCATGAAAATAATGCTTGATGTAATTAAGTAGTGGTTCATTGTACTATCCTCTCTACTTTTGTGTGTTTGAAATTTTACATAAGAAAAAGGTTTTTCAAGTCAGTCTGGGCCATAATAATTAATGTAGCTTCAATTTCATGAAACCTACAGTAACAAAAACTAGGAAAGCCACAATTTGAGTGATTTCATGCAAAGATATTATGCAATTTTACTTTATTTACATTTAGTGTAATTATTGATAAAGTTGGAATAATGTCTGCCATGTTCCTATGTATTTTCTATATATCAGAGGTCTTTTTATCCCACTATTCCATTAGTGACTTCTTTTATATAAATATTTCTAGTGTACCATTTAAATTCCTTTGCTGTTTCCTTTACATTTTAAGTTATTTTGTTAGTGTTTGCCCTATGGATTACAGTTGACATTAATTTAAAACAATGTAGTTCAGGTTCATACCAATTTGATATCAGTAGTATTCAAATATTTGCTCCAGAGTATCTCCCCTCTTCCCCTTCTTTCTATTATTGTCAGACAAATTATGTTTTTATATATTATACACCCATCTACATGGCTTCATATAGCTATATTTTGGTACCGGTACCGGGGATCGAACTTGGGACCTTGCACTTTTGAGGCAGGCGCTGCAACCACTGAACTAAATCCCCAGCCCAATATAGCTATATTTTAAATCGGAAGAGTTACAAACAAAAACACATGTATCATCTTTTATATTTACTCATATACTTAACTTTTCCCAGTACTCTTTTATTTCTTCAAATGAATTCAAGGTAGAGTCTTCCTGTCTTTTTATTTTACCCTTAAGGAATTTTTTTTTTACCAGTTTATTCAGCTATTTCCCCCTCTTTCTTCATTGTTTTCAGTCTTTTGCTAATTCAAATAATAGCACTATAAAACTTTGTGCACATACTGTTTCTTATTTGTGGAAGTACATTTGCAGAGTAGATCAATAGAAGCAGTTAGCGAGGTCAAAGGTGAATCTGCAGGTTTGTCTGAGAGCCAGTTTCTGTACCTTTCTTACCTGACTTCTTGTCAAGCTTTTGTACTTTTGCCAATCTGATGGATCAGAAATGTTGGCTCAGTGAAAGTTTAATTTGCATCCTTCCTGATATGAAAAGGGCCAGGCAAATGTTTAGAGGCCCCTTGCATTTCCCCCGTAAACTATTTATGTCCCATTTTCTATTAACTATCATCTCTTTAATCTCAGCCTTTATTCACCAAACTTCACATTTCTGGTTATCTTGGCAGTTCTGACCCTTAGGTCCAGATAATCTCTTTTTTGAATTTCTTGTAGATTAGTCTGTTAGCTATGAATTCTCTTAGGTTTTTGTTTATCTGGGATTGTCTTTAATTTCTCCTTCTTTCTCTCTCTCTCTCTCTTTTTTTTTTTTTCTTGAACAGAAATTTATTTTCTGAAGTCCAAGGTTAAAGTGTCAACAGGTACAATTTCCTCTAAAGCTCCTCTCTGGGCTTCTAGATGGACACCTTCTTTGGGCACTTCATCTGGCTGTCTCTGTGCAAACTGCCCCTGGGGTCCTCTCCTTCCCTTTTGAAGGACACTTTTGCTAGATACAGAATTTCTGGTTGATTTTTTGCTTTCTTTCAACACTTTGTGTCATTTCACTGCCTCTGGACTCTAGGTGCTGAAGCCAACCATTAATCTTTTTGTGGCCTTTTGTATATGATGAGTCATTTTTCTGTGCTGCTTTTAAGATTTTCTTTGTCTTGGGCTTTTGACAGTTTGACTATGATGTGTCTAAGTGTGGATATCTTTGAATAATCCTGCTTGCAGTTTGTTGAGTTTCTTAAATGAGTAGATTGATTTTCGTTAAACTTGGGAAATTTTGGGCCATTTGCTTTTCTTTTTTGAGATGGGAGCTATCTGTGTTGCCAAGCCTGGCCTTGAAATTGTGTTCCCTCTGCCTCAGCCCTAGTAGCTGGGATTATAGTTGTACACCACCGTACCTACCTCATTTCTTTTTTTTTTTTTTTTTTGTATTAAATTCTTTTATCATTTCTTTTTTTGTATAATAAGATCCTGTGGATGACCTTTCCCCTGTTCTTCTGGGACGGTATTGTATGTTGGAGTGCTCCATGATGTTCTATAGATCTCTGAGAGTCTGTTCATTTTTCTTCATTATTTTCTTTTTTGGTACTGGGGATCGAACTCAGGACCTTGCTCTTGCGAGGCAGGTGGCAGCACCACTGAGCTAAATCCCCAGCCCTCTTCATTATTTTCTTTCTATTCCTCAGACTGGATAATAGCAATTAACCTATCTTTGAGTTTACTGATTCTATTGCCAACTCAAATATTGTGTTGAGCTCTGATAGTAATTTTTTTTTTCATAGTACTGGGGATTGAACCCAGGGCCTTCATAGTGAGCTACTTCACCTCTTTTATTTTCAGACAGAATCTTGTTAAATTGCCTAGGCTGGGCTTGAGCTTATAATCTTCCTGCCTCAGCTCCCAAGCCACTGGAATACAGGTGTGAACTATCATGGCCAGCTCAGTTTTACATTTTTGTGATTGAATTATTTCAACTCCAGAATTTCTGTTTTTTTCTACTTGACAAGATTTTATTCTTTTTATTTGTTTTCTGGAACAGGGTCTTGCTGTGTAGTTCAGGCTGGTCTTGAACTCACTGTGTAGCCCAGGCCGGCCTCCAACTTGTGGTGCTCTTCCTGCCTCAGCTTCCTGAGTGCTGGGATAATAGGCGTGTGCTACCATGCCTGGCAGGACAGTTTCTGTTGATTGCTTTTTCCTGTGTTTGGGCCATACTTTTCTATTTCTTTGTGTGCACGGACCCCTTAAGTAACACTGTAAGACAGCAGTAGAAGTTACATTCTTCCACCTAAGAATTTGAAATTGCTGGTTATTGTTCTGGTTGCTGCTGGTTGTTTGTGAGTTTCCTGGACTGATTTTGTAAAGTCTGAAAATCTTTAGGTTTTTTTTTTTTGTTTGTTTGTTTAGTCTGTTAATGATTAGAAAGAGATTTTCTTGGGCCGGGGATTTAGCTCAGTGGTTCCGCCGCTTGCGAAGCAGGCACAAGGACCCGAGTTCGATCCTGGGCACCAAAAAAAAAAGCAAGAGATTTTCTTACCTTGAACTGATAAGTCCTCTTCTTTGCCAAGGGGCTGTGTGTGGGGGAGTGTATGTGTGGCTGTGGCTGTGAGTGTGTGTGCAGGGCAGTTTGTAAGTCTGTCTTAGCCTTCGTGTCCTACTTACACAGAGCCTCAAGGTCAGCCAGAGCTGAGGGGTCTGCACTTGTGTGGTCTTTTCTGAGTGTGCACATGGCCTATACATATGTGTATGACCTTCTAGATTGCCAGGATGTGGCGGGGCTCATTACAGCTGCACTATGGATGGCTCATGCCCCAGATTTTTAAAGTTGCTGTCCATAACCTTGCTTTTTTCAGTTGTCGCCACTACCTCAGGCAGCTGAGGTATTAAACAATTGCCTCTGTTTTCGAAAATGCCTAGGGAATAAGTTTCTCACTGAGCTTACTCTGAGTTAGGGCAAATGAAGACAGACTCTGTGAATGAAAGTTTTTCAGGTTCTCCAAACCTGTGCTGTTATTTTTAGGGATTGTGAGGCCATTGGTTTTCAATGCCACCACAGAGTTGGGGAAGGAGTCCCGGGAATGGGGCAAGTTTGAAAAATGCCACGAAGCTTGCTGTTCTTACACAACATCAGCCATTTCTCCAGTAAATGCTCCTTGGGTTGTTGCAAGTCCTTTTTTTTTTTTTTTTTTAAATTTTGATAGTTCTGATTTTGATGAGTTTTGCTAGTGCTCATATTGCCCTTATGGAGGAGTGTATTTTCAGAGGTTCTTTCTCTCCCAATCTAGAAGCGCTTTTGAATTCTAACTTCTTGAAAGCTACAGCTTTTTCTGCTCCTTTCCTGCTATACCTAACATTTCTGGCCAAATTAATTTTTTCTTTTGTCATTTTCTATTTCATATGTTTATCACATAACTGATTAATTCCGTGGTACAATTGTAATAGGAATAACATTTAGTAATATATGCCTAAGAATGTATTAAAGACTTATGTAATACATGTTTACTGAATTTTGCATGCCTGTAATCCCAGCACTTGGGAGGCTAGGCAAGAGGATTGCCTTAAGTTCTTGGCCTGCCTGGGCTACATAGTGAGTTCAGGGCTAGCCTGAACTACATAGTGAGACTCTGTCTCAAAAAAACCAAAACCAAATAAAAAAAAACCCCAAATCAGAAAAGTTTAGTGAATTTATAACAATTTAGGAAAATTTTTCCAATCTTTTGCAGCTTTGAAACTCTATCTTCTCGAAGATTTCCTTCTTCTGAAGAGCTACGAATGGCTAAAGTGACCATGCAGAATCCTAATGATGTTCTTCATGATCTTGGCAAAAAGGAGAAAGAAACAAATGGCACCCTCCAGGTAAAGCAAGGGTAGTGTTAACATTGATGATTAGTATGGTAAAAATAATGAAGCAATAGAAAACTTGTTAGAACAGAAATCAGAGTGAAGATTAAACTAAAGCAGTGAAAAAGACAGCCAAGTCTGTTCGTTTTCCAAAATTTTGTCAAAAACCTTCACCAACTAATTTCTCCTTGCTCCTTGTTGGCCAGGGGTGAGCCACGCGGCCACCCCTAGCTTCTAGCTTCTGCTGGGGAGAAAGGAAGGGAGAAAGATTACTGTAAGGGCCCTTGTGTATCAAGCGCACGGTGTGTGCCAACTTGCTCTTACTTTTTAGCTTTCTCTAGCAGTAGAGCTTTCATTAATACTGGACTAAATTCCCCATCTGTTTCATTTAACATTCATATTAGTACCCCCCCCCAGCACTCAGCATTTATTTATTTATTTGTTTGTTTATTTATTTATTTTTGGTGTTTTGAGACAGGCTCTTGCTTTATAGTTCAGGCTGAACTCACTGTGTAGCCCAGCTGGCCTCATACTCCCGATCCTCCTGCCTCAGCCTCCCAAGTGCTGGAATTACAGGTGTGCTCCACCATGCCTAGCTTTTTTGTTTTTGTTTTTTTTGTACTGGGGATTGAACTCGGGACCTTGTACTTGTGAGGCAGGTGGCGGAACCACTGAGCTAAATCCCTGGCCCTCTATTTTTTATTTTGAAACAAACTTCCTAAGTCACCAAGTTGCCTGGGCTGTGCTTGAACTTGTGATCTTCCTGCCTCAGCCTCCCAGAGTGCTGGGCTCATGTTGGTACTTCTAAGTAGAAAAAAATTAATTGCCAATTTTTTTTACAATTTATCAGTTTGATAAATTAGTATGGGTCCAACAAGAGTAATAGATCTTGTTTGGGTTAAAATAATCAGTATGGGTTTAACATGGTAACTTTTTTGCCTTTTAAGCTAAAAGAATTTCTGATGATGTTGAAACTTGCTGATCTTTCACAGAATTCTGGTAAACTTCAACCAACCAATACAGTGAGATCTGTATTGAAAGATGCTGAGAAAATTTTGAGAGGAGTACAGAACAATAAAAAAGTACTTGAAGAAAACCTGGAAGCTATTATTCGAGCAAAGGATGGAGCTGCTATGTATTCGTTTATCAATGCTTTGTCTACCAATAGGTAAGAAATGAAGTTGGCTTCCCAAGATTATTTATGAAGTTGGCAGTTCTACTTTTTTCATGATGTGAACCACTTCACTTTGATTAATGTGTGTTAATATTTAGAAAAGGTTCTTCGTTGACTTTGAATGTATGACGCTTAGTATAAAGTTGAAATTACATGGTAATGCTTTTCACTGATGGGAATTTCTTTTTAATTTTTTTGTCATTGCTATACATCTTTTTTTCCAGTTTTTATTTATTTTGCATGTTTGTATTATACAATGGTTACATTCCTTGTAGGGAGCTGGTATATGTATATTATGTTTTCTATGATTCTTTCCAAACATTTATGCTGTGATGAAAATTAGTACTGTTGGTTTTTCCTGTTCAGAAGAAGGGTGTTGGGCTATGCAGAAGATTTAAAACTAGATAAGAATGGTATCTCATCCAGGTAATATTCTCAGTATATTAAATGGTAATTTAAGAAAATTCCTTTTTTCTTTTTCATAGAGAGATGTCAGAGAAAATTAGGATCAGAAAGACAGTAGATGAATGGATTAAAGCTATTTCTACAGAAATTCAGGTATGTCTTGGAAAAAAACTAAAAAACATTCTGGGACTATAACTTTATATTTGGTCTCAAAATACTTCTTACATATAAGTTGATTTAATATTCAATTTCATTCTGTCTCTATTTTTACTCAATTGTAAATATAGTTTTATCAAATGAGTGCATTATTTTATTTTATTTTTTGGTACCGGGGGTTGAACTCGAGTCCTGTGCTTGCGCAGCAGGCGGCAGAACCACTGAGCTAAATCCCCAGGCCTGAGTGCATTATTTTATATTGTGGCTTTTATGTGGCAAATTATTGGACAGTAATTATAATGTGATTAATTTGAAAGAAAATTTAGCAAAACCATTTAGGAAAGATTTATACCTGCAAAAATGTTTCAGGAGAGCATATTTAGAAGCACTGGCTTATTAAAGTAAAAATACTGAGGTTAGTTAAAAAGAAAAAAACATTCAATTTCCAAAGTTACTAAATGTACAGAAGTCGATTCTTGATGGAAAAATACCCTTTCTCATGTCCATGAAGGGCACAGTACATCTTCAGACATTAGCATTGCAGCTATCTGGAGTTTTTATTAGAGGGTTCATAATTTACAGGAAATTCTTCAAGTTTGATGTGTTCAAAGGAATAGAACTAGACAGGGTAGCCTGTTGTTTGGTTATAGAGAGCAAAGAAGTGTTTTGCTGACTGTAAGATGGGCTTACATGCTTACCACTATGGCAGAAAGACGAAGTGCCATTTCTATTTCTGTAGCAATACGTATAGAAATATCTTTTAAACTTTCTTTCTTAGGAATATGTACCTATATCTAGAAGCAGTTATGAAGAATTTATACTTGCTACTACATGATATACCAGAAAAAGAGCTAAGAGTCTGAAGATTTGTAGTCTAATTCTAACTTGATAGCCAGTTACCAGTGTATGTCCCTCTATTACTATGAATTCCATATATAGTATGTTTGTTTAAGCCTTCAAATAATTTTAATTTATAAATATTTATTTCAGGGTATTACAACATTATTATTATTACTATTAGTAACATCATCATCATCATCATCATCATTATTTGGTACTGAGGATTGATTCCCTGGGCCTTGCACATGCTAGGCAAGTGCCCTACCACTGTGCTATATCCCAAGTACTTTTTTTTTCCCAAGTACTTTTTAAATTTTATTTTTAGACAAGGTTTCATTAAGTTGTCCAGACTATCCTTGATGTAGGAATCAGCCTCCCTCAGTCTCCAGAGTAGCTGGTATTACAGGTGTGCATCAACACGCTTGGCTATTTCCTTTTTTTTGAACTTATTTTTTAAATTATATTTTTAAAAGTTACTAAATTCATACACTTCAAGGATCAAAAAGTGTTTTTAAAACTTCTAATGAAAAGCTGCTCTCCTGTCCCTGTGCCTCATCTACTTTACTAATGTTTTTAGTTTTTTATTCTTCTAGGGAATTTTATTCGTATATGAACCAATATCTTTTATTTTTAAATCATTTACAACTACTAAACTATTTTTTTTTCGGGTACCAGGGATCAAACTCAGGACCTCGCACTTGCAAGGCAGGTGCAGCGCCACTGAGCTAAATTTCCAGCCCCTACTAAACTATTTTTATAACAGAAAAAAATAAATTCAACTATTTTTCTGGTGTGAAACCATTACTGTTTGGATAGGTTTGAAGTAATTTGAATTTTGTTTAACTTAAGGATGAAATGGCAAGAAAAGATTATGAACAAAGGAGATTTGATCAGAAGAATCAAAGGACCAAGAAAGCCCAGAATATAAGTAAAGATATTAAAGCTAACACACAAGACAAAACTGTAAATAAATCTGTAATTCCAAGAAAACCTCAAAAACAAGTGGAGGATTATCTTAGACGTCTACCTATAAGGAACATGGCTACTTCCAGTGTACAGAAAGAGAGAAAAGTAAGATCCTAATCTGGTTTTGTGACATAAATGTTGCATTATAATTGATCATTTCCTTTAACTTAAATATAATGAAGTTAATATGAAGATATTTTTAAAGGTGGTGTACAAATGCAAAGTATCTTTACACTGTTGATACTTAAGGTTTTGGATCCATACTGCATGAAACCTGTAGTTCCTTCCAGCGATCTCATACTTTGTTTTTTGTTTTGTTTTATTTTTTATTTTTTAAGAGATAGGGTGTTAAAAAAAACACAGACAGTACGTGGCTGTGTTGCTCAGCTCAAGCTGCCCTCCTGCTTCAGCCTTTCAAATAGCTAGGATTACAGGTGCATGTTGCCATGTCTAGATTTAGATCTCATACTTAGAAGCATAACATTATAGTTATTGCAGGTATAACGAACGAGGGATCATCTAATCCAATAACTAGATTTTCTAGTTTGTGGTACTCAAAAACATGTTTCATCTTCATGTGTGTGTATGTGTATGTGTGTTTTGTGGCTAATTTTTAAGTTTAATAAATTTATGTTTCGTGTCTAGTTGAATGCAACACAGTTCTATATACTGCTGAACATAGTAAAGCATCTAATTCAATGTTTGGCACTTAGTAAATGCTCAGTGAGTGCTGCCCTTGTGAGGCATGTAGGTTATGGTTGAAAGCGAGGCCAGGAAAGTACCGTATAAAGTCATTTAAAGACTAGACTTACTATATTTTTATTGTTCTTGAATATAATAAATATGTAAGATGTGTTTAAACATTACCTTTTTAGTGCTAAAATATAATTAGTAATGTGAAAACTTTTATGTTTTATAGGTGGATGATTTTTATATTTACATTTTCTGCTTTTTAAAACTCATGTTTGAAAACTGTATTCACAATTTAAAGGCTTTTTAAGATAGAGAATTTTTCTGACCTGCGCATTCTTACTGTAATACTTAAATTAGCAAAGGGAGGCTTTAGAAAAATGAGATAAGGGTTTGATGTCTACTTTTATGGTGAGTTTAATAATTTTGTATACCTAGGGGCTTTTGAAATCACCCACAGTGATACAAGATGAGGATTACATGTCCCAAGTATATGGAAAACCAGTTTATCAGGGCCATCGCAGCACTCTTAAAAGAGGACCGTACCTCAGGTTTAATTCTACATCTCTTAATTCCAAACCACAGAGACCAAAAATAATAGAACAAGTTAAAGGTAAGGAACCTAATTTTTTTGTTTTACCTCATTTTAAAATGCTATCAGTTTAATACATTAAGTAAAGCTAAATAGCTTCCTTTTATTTGCTTTTTATTTATGATGTATAAATGCAGTTCAAATTACAATGTTTAAAGTTAGTACTGATCAGTTTTTGTTTTTTTTTTTTTTTTGGTACTGGGGATTGAACTTGGGTCCTTGCGCTTGCGGGGCAGGTGGCGGAACCACTGAGCTAAATCCCCGGCCCTCCAATGTTTAAGGTTGGAAAAATAATTTCTTCTAGGAGAAGTCCAAAAAATAGACCCAAACTGAAAATCAAGGCACAGGTTAAGAATACATAGGAAGAATTGTAGGCTTAGATGGTATCTTCAGAGAAAGCATGATAATGTTTTTATTTAGGAGGTGTTGAGTCTTGGACAATCTAAACTATAATGGAGAAAAAGTAGACATTTCCTTGAAGACCTTAGTCCATCATGTCCCTGTGAACAGAAATATCAGCCATGTTCTGTTTATTACCATGAAGGGTTTATAGGCAGTTTTGCAATTTTGTTCTCAGTGTGCTTGAGGTTGCAAAGGTGAACACTTTTTTGTTTTTGTTGCTTTTGCACAAAACTTAAAATATCTTCCTATATCACTATGTGTTTTGACTCATATCTACCATTTCAATGTCATAGTTAGTTTAGTTAAATATTGATACGTTTCGGCCGGGGATTTAGCTCAGTGGTTTCGCTGCCTGCTACGCAAGCGCAAGGATCCGAGTTCGATCCCCGGTACCAAAAAAAAAAAAATATTGATACGTTTTGACATTTCTTAGCTTATTCTTTAGCAGTCAGTAAGCTGCTCTGACAATATGTGATAATTAATTAGCTACCAACCCATTTTCCTTTCTTATAGTTTCTAGAGGTTGGAGCTGTGGCAGTTGTTTTAGTTTTCTTTCCTTTCCAAAACTTAGGTGATCATAGATGGTAATGAAGGTTATCTACAAATCCTTCTGATATTATTTTAATAAAACATATAGATTGATTTTTACCCTAGTGGATGATATTGATCTACTGTTTCCCCCATTATTCTAGGCACTAAAGTAAAGTCCATAAGAACACAAACTGACTTTCATGGAATAAAACCTATGAAGATAGACTCTAGAATGCAATATCCTGTTACTGCGTTACCTCGTGGCGAGCAGCAGTATCTGTTCAGCCCAAGTAGAGAAATGCCTACATTTTCCGGTACTCTGGAAGGTCATCTAATTCCTATGGCAATTCTTTTAGGTAAGAACCAAGAAAATATTTAAGGTGAATTTTAATTTCTTGCCAGCAGTGGTAAAACTTACAGAATAGTGCTGACACACCAGTCATCTATCTTTTTATGTGTGTTGTTTGTGTGTGCAGGGAAGGCCTCAGCTGGATCATCTCTGGAATGATGGCTTTTTCTTATAGTTTTACCCACAGGAAATGTTCTTTGATATTGGATGGTACATTGCTGTAGAGCAAATGAAACTAAAATATGTTTAGACATATCATCAACATTTTTAACAATTCAGAATTTGAGAAGTTTTATTGGCTTGTTAAGATTATCTTGTCTTAGAGGAAGTACTGTAATTCACTTTTATATACTGTTGAACTATGCTGTGTGAGTAAATGGTAGGTGTTTTTTTAAGTCAACATTTGGTTTTACTTACTTGAGATCTGTCTGCCTAACCGTGTTAAAAATTGAACAAATCATTTTTGCTCTTACACCAGCACTTCAGATCTAATTAACTTTTTTCATTGTCATTGCTAGTTTCCTTTAATTTTGATGTCTGATTTAAATGTGAATTTTTAAACATGAAGTATTTTTTTAGGTTGGATCTTATGGGTTAATGACATGTCTGCTTGGTGGCTAATGTGTGTTCAAACACGCCTTTAGCAATACAACAGCTAACTTTTAAACCCTAGGCACTTTATATATATGTTCACTGACTTAACCTACCAAATAAACCATTTAGTAATATACTAATTTTATAGTTTAAAAAAACTGAGTCGCAAAGAAACTTAAGTAGTAATTTGTCAAAGACTATACAGCTTGAGTGAAGTTGGGATTTAACCCCAAGCAGTCTGGCTAGAGTTTATGGTTTTAAAAAGTATACTGTATTCTCTCGCGTTGAAATTTAGAAAACAAGTGGGACTTTGAAATAAAAGCCAACAAGGGTTTTGGCATTTTTTAAATGTAGAAGTTGGATGTGGGGGCACATGCCTGTAATCCCAGGACTCGAGAATCTGAGGCAGGAGGATCACCATGAGTTTGAGGCCAGCTTGGGCTACACAGTGAGTTCAAAGCCAGCCTTCACTACATAGCAAGACTCTGTCTTAAAAATAGAATAGAATAGAATAGAATAGAATGAAATGTGGAGAATATTAATACCTCAGAGCCTTTATTTTGCCTATAAGTCCTAGTGACTGTGGCAGCTGCTGAAGGGATCCATGGGGAGTATGTTGTCAGTGGGGTGATGAGGGGGAAAGGTGTTGTCAGATCCTGCTTTCCTTTCACATGAGGAAGAAGCAGCCACACAGATCCAGACAGTAGATTAGATTTTCCCTTTATTTCTGAACTCATGGAAATGCCAGACTCATTTTTCTCCCCTAAACTTCTTAGGACAAACACAAAGTAATAGTGATTCTGTACTGCCTGCTGGAGTCATTGTACACAAGCCACACCCTGTAACCGTGACCACTTCTATTCCTCCATCATCTGGAAAAGTAGAGACTGGAGTAAAGAAACCTAATGTAGCAGTTGTAGAAATGAAGTCAGAGCAAAAGGATCCTCCTCGGCTTACTGTACAGGTATGCTGGGTTGCACGAGCAGAAAAGAATTTTTAAAATTTGAGCATCTTTATTTTTTCAATATACTCTTTGTTTCCAATTTTTATTTTTTTTATTAGTACATGTTTGCAGTACATAATGATTACATACCACATGGGAAGTCAGCACATGTGCATGACACATCTTCATTCTTTTTCATCTCCTTCCCTGCCTCCCTCCCTCCACTCTCTTGGTCCTCTTCTTTTTGACAAAAGAGCCATCTCCCCATTTCCTATTATCTAGCTTTAATTTTGCTCTTGTAGTATTTGGGTTTCTCATATAAGAGAAACCAGGTGATATTTAAGCTTGCATGTCTGATTTATTTCAGTTAACATTATGGTCTCCAGGTGCATTCATTTTCCTACAGATGACTCATGTTTATCATTCTTTATGGCAAAGCAGTACTCCATTGTGTATAAACACCACATTTTCTTTATCCATCTCTCCGTTGCTGGACATAGTAGGCTATTTTGAAGATTTAGCTATCATAAATTGTGCTGCTAGAAACATGGGTATGCATGTAGCACTGCAGTAGGATGTTTTTAACTTTCAGGAAGATATCTAGAAGGAGAATAGCTGTGTCAAATAGAATTTCTATTTTTAGTTTTTTGAGGAATCTCCATATTGATTTCCATAGTAGCTGTATTACCTTACATTTACATCAACAATGGAGAAGGGTTCTTTCTGTTGTAGTTTCCCCAGCATTTGTTATTATTTGATTTCTTGATGACAGCCCTAATTTCTAGAGTAAGATGGAATCTCAGTGTTGTTTTAATTTGTATTTCTCTAAAGTTGGAGATGTTAAGCATTTCTTCAAGTATTTATTGGCCAGTTGTACTTCTTTTGATTGTTCCCTTTCCTATGCAGAAGGATTTTCTTTTTTTTTTTTTGGAATTGCACGTGTGTGCCAGCGTAGCCAGCTAGAGAAGCTTTTAAATATGATATCATCCCATTTATTGATTCTTGATATTATTTCTTTCTTTCTTTTTTTTTTTTTTTTTGGTACCAGGGATCAAACTTGGGTCCTTGCGCTTGCGAGGCAGGAGGCAAAACCACTGAGCTAAATCCCCAGCTCTTGATATTATTTCTTGTGCAATTGGGGTTCTGTTCAGAAAGTCCTTACCTGCTATGCTTAGATCTTCAAGAGTTTTATATATTTTTATCTTCCAGCAGATTGTTTCTGTTTATCATTTAGATCTTTTATCTGTTTTTATTTTAGTTTAGTATATGGTAAGAGATATGGGTCTAAATTTAATCTTCTGCATGGGGATAGCCAGGTTTTGTTTTTTTTTTTTGGTACTGGGGATTGAACTCAGGACCTTGTGCTTTCAAGGCAGGCAGTGGAACCACTGAGCTAAATCCTCAGCCCCTGGGATGGCCAGTTTCCCTAGTACCATTTATTAAAGAGATTATCTTTCATGACCAGAAAGTTTTGAAGAAACAATCCTTAGGTTAATATAGTACTACAACTTTAGGATCATTTTGATATTTGAAAGAATAAAGGGCTTAGGAAAGTTAAGGGTTTAGCTACTGGTCCAATATAACAGATTTTCAGAGTTATACTTGTAACTTAAAAAGAATGCAGTGTATTAGAATCTCCATAAATCAGTGGGTAATAGAATTTATGTAAATGAAATAATGTATGTCATAGATACTTTGACTAGGTGAAATAAACATCAGTTTTAGACTCTAAATTCCTACTGAATAGCAAATAAGTTCCAAAAAGGCTGATGGTATAACTACACAATATGAAAATGGAGAAATTAAAAGATAATTAGATGGATTTTTTTAACAATCAGAATTGAAATTAAGTCTAAATATGAGAGAAGAAAATTTAGATATGATAGAAAAGTAGACAGACTCGAACCTATAAAACCTAAAGCTTCATATGTTAATTCTTTTTTTTTTTGGCACTGGGGATCGAACTTGGGTCCTTGCGCTTGCAAGGCAGGCGGCAGAACCACTGAGCTAAATCCCCGGCCCCATGTTAATTCTTAAATAAAAGTAAAACAACATATTGAGAGAACATACATCTAAATCCAGAAATAGTCAAAGGACATAGATGAGAGTTTACAAAAGAGAAAGTACAATTTATCATCAAGCAAATTGAATTTTGCTAGTAGCCAAGATAATGTAAATTAAAATAACAATAATATACCCCCATTTAAAAAACTGTTTTACTAATTCTTGCCTAAAAAAAGCTGTTATTGCAGAAATGATCTTAATTATCTAATTTTGATTGATAATTGATAAAATGTAGAGTTAGTTATGTTTTTGATGATGGAAATAGAGTTGTTTGGATTGCATTTTGTCAATAATGACAGAGATCTTAAATATTCATGCTCCATGGCCAAAGAAATTAATCTACTAACAAAATGAAATAATTCAAAGCTTCAGAAAAAAACTCTGTATGGAGAAGTTGGTTTTTTGTGGTGATCTTTGTATAAAAACAGAAAAATTCTGTTTACCAATAGAAGTATAATTAAGAGATGAACATTTTTGCTGATTTTTTTTAATGGTACTGGGGATCGACCCAGGGGTACAGTACCACTGAGCTACATCCCCTTTTAAAAAATTGTTTTGTTTTTTATTTTTTAAATTTTTAATTTTTCCCCCTTTTAACAAAATTCGAGACAGGTTGTCACTAAGTTGCTCAGGCTATTGAAATATTATATAATTATTTTTAAATATGAGGTCTATACAGACCTTCGTAAAGTACTCCTGATCTAAAAACAATGAAAAATCGAAAATAAAAACTGTTTTAGATTTCTTTATGCCTAAGTGGATAGTAAAAAGGCAAAGAGAATATAGTAGTGAAAAATAAGTTATTTTAAGATAGGACTTTTTTTTGGTTTGTTTTTGTTTTGCTTTTGCAAAGAGGGTCTCAGTGTGTAGCTCAGGCAGGCCTTGAACTCACAGCAGTCCTTGTGCCTCAGCGTTCCGAGAGCTGAGATTACAGGAGTGCATCACCACACCTGTCTCTTCAGGAGAGGATTTTGTTTTCCCCTTTAATTTTCATATTTTGTAAACCATACTTTGATGTTTAGATTTAGAGAGTTTGTTAGCCGTTGGCTTCACAGTAAAAATTCAAAGGGCACGTTTTGCTGTCTGTTATTTTGACAAGACATTTGAGAAGGAATGATACGGACAAAGTTGGACGCTGTGTTCTGTTGTAGGTGTTACCCAGAGTGGACATTGACAGCATTTCAAACGACAGCGCCGACGGGGGCTCACCTCTGCCCAGTCCCAGAGGAGCACGTCGGTCTCCGCCGCGGATGTGCACACAGGTCCGGTACACAGAGCTCTAGTGTATGGTTTTCTGGAAGGTCTGACTGTGGAGTTTAATGTTATTCTGTGAAAAACATCCTATCATAATTGAAATTCGTTTTAATAATTTAGGTTTTGAGGAAAAGGTTCACAGTGAATCTCGGAATGTTTTATGAACTTGAAAAAGAAAGTCTGTTTCAGTTTCTGCAATTTATAAATACTCAGAAAGTGATAAACCTTAGTGTAACTTTGGTAACTTAAATTGTGAAGTTCTAATATGTGAAGAAAGAATTTCTCTTTTGGAAGGAATCCTCCATTTACATGGGAATTATAGGCTTCCTGAATGAGAAGTTTTTAGTGACAGTTAGAGTTCTCACTTCATTGTTCCACTGTCACCATCAGACTGTTATCATGATGCAAAACTATGCATTTATTCCTGTAATTTATTTGCTTCTGAATAATGAAGTTATGGTTTTACTACAAAGGAAAATAATGTTGTAACTTACCCCAGGTTTTAGTTATTGTAAGCAAATTTGATCATGGAGGATAGTTTTAAAGAGAGGAAAAACACCAGTACTCTCTCAGGATTACAAATAATAGAATAGAACTGACCCTCCATGGAATTTGTACCTAGTTTAACTTTTTTTTTTGGTATTGGGGATCGAACTTGGGACCTTGCACTTTCGAGGCAGGCGGTGGAACCACTGAGCTAAATCCCTGGCCCTAGTTTAACTTTTGACCAGTATGATTTTTTTTTAACCAGAAGTTTATTGAGACACATAAGAAATATGCAATATATTTTTCAACTATTTATCATTCTGCTTTCCATGAGAGGCTATTGAGGTTTTGTAACTACATTTTTAGTAAAGTCTGGTGTTAAATTTAAGAAATGACTTTTTTTTTTTGGTACCGGGGATTGAACTCAGGACCTTGCGCTTGCGAGGCGGGTGGCTATATGAGAGAGGTCATAATTATAGCAACCTGTTGGTCCATTGATTTACATTGCATTTGTTGAAAGAGTCCTTTAAATATTAAGACTGATATTTAATTTTTTATAGTATTGAAATGATGACCTAATAGCTTAAGTACTTTTATTTACTAATTAAGTCAGTTCTGAATAGGATATCAAAATAAGAATACAGCCATGTAATTTCAAGTTTATGCTATATGCGGAAATATGATAAGTATATATGTAAATTTTTATTTATTTTTTTTTTGGTACCGGGGATCGAACTTGGGTCCTTGTGTTTGCAAGGCAGGCGGCGGAACCACTGAACTAAATCCCCGGCATATGTAAATTTTTAAGATTAAGCACAATAAAAACTTTCTGAAAATATTTTCTTAGACTCCAGAATTTATGAATGTGGATGAAGAAGAGGTGAAGTTTCCTGGAACTAACTTTGATGAAGTAATCGATGTTGTTCAGGTAACAAAGCTTAGAATCCATGAAAAATTTTCTACCAGCACTTTTCTAAGTGGTTGAATATCTTTTGACTGTCAGTATGGTTATAGCACTTTAAGAAATTTGCTTTTACTTTAAAGTTAAAGTATACTTTTATTTTAAAACATTATGAAGTTATTATTCTCTAGTACATTGTTGTCTTCATCTGTGTCATCCATCTCCTTGAAATAATTGTTTCCTACCTCTTTTTTAAAACTTTTTATAATTTATTTAGAGATAGGACATTAAAAGAGTTATTTAAATTAAAGAAATCTAACAAAGAATCTAGTAATATTTAGAATTAATAGGATGCCAGTCATCCAGTAGTTCTATGTGGATATTCACAAGTGAACATTTCTATGACCTGATATGCTTAAAAATAACATATTCCCATCTCACTTTTAATTAGGGGCCTCTGAATGCACATATGCACCATCATTTTCATTAGGGCCCTCCAGTGCCCAGGTGTGCTCCAGAACCGGTAGCGATGCATGCCATTCTGGGACCCGGGAATCTTTTCCTACCTGGGGTCCGGCCCTTGCAGCCAGTCTCAGCAAATCTCCCCAGGAAATAGGGTCTCACCAGCATCCTCAACACCTTTCATCCTGCCCTAGTTTCTGAGAACTTACTAGACAGTTCGAGAAGCACACTGGTGAGCAGCCTATGGGGTCTGCTAGATATCTGAAACACTGAGTTTGTTTTCGCTAAAATGAAAGAATGAATTCTAGGAACAATGGAGGTTAAGATTAGGAAGAATTTATGGAGAGAAAGATAGCTTCTGTCTAACAGAGACAGAAGGGGGACTGGAAAGTAGGTTGCCCCTCCCACCTAGCTCTTGTCTCTCCTGTTCCCTATTCTTTCTTTCCATTTCTTTTGTTTCCCATCTCTTTCATCAGTCATTTCTTCACTCTGATTACATTTATCTCTTGATTTCTGCAGTATTGGCAGCTTATATTGAGAAAAAAAGATGTGAATGATCTAAAATCCAAGGAAGGTCCCATATGGAGGACAGAGTTATGGAAATAATTGAAATAATAAAATAGAGAGAAGTAGGAGGAAATAAAATACAAAAGCTGTGAGAAATGATCATAGAACATAGCAATTACTTCAATATGAATATATTAGTAGCCTTCAGGGAAAGTATGTTTTCATATTGTTTGACTTTCAGAGCTAAGACTAGTTCTGTTAATTAGAAATTAAATTTTTAAAAAAGAATTTGCAGAGGTAGGCAGTATATTAACGTTATTTATTCACGTGTACGTCTTGTCATGTGAGCACCAGATGGGTGCCACATGAGTGTTTTAAGAGCAGGAAGTTTATATTCCTAAAGGCTAGTGAAGCTCCATGTGAAACTGTGTATTTAGTGTACAAGTGACAGAACCATTTGTAGAACTCAGGTGGATTTGGAGTTTAAGGAAAAGGACTCTGACTCCGACTCTACACTGGATAGCTGTGGGCTTCATTGTTTTGGTTATATTGAAAGAGATTGAACTTTTTGAAGAAATATATTGAATAACAGGTAAGATGATATATCTGCAATTTGCTTAGTCTAGGTGACAGAGAGCTGCCCATAATTGGTAACTGTTGAAGTTAAAGAACAAATAAATGTGATTCATGTTATTTATATATGCAACATACAAGACATGGGAGCTATTTTGTTTACTTTTAAACACTTGAGTCACTTTTTGTAATGTTTTAAGATTCCAAATATAACTCTTTTTATCATGAAAAGATGATGCAAATAATGAATAAGGTGTTCTAACTGGATTTTAAATGTAGGTTATAGTGTTTTGCAAGAGCAAACTGATATTTGGAAGCATCTGTTTTTTATGATAATCAATTCAGAAATGAATATTTTATGTTAATGATGTTTTAATTAAGTTTTCTAATTTGTTTTATGACTTTATACAGTGAATATTGTTTTTTTGTATGTGTTTTCTGTGTGTGTGTGTGTGTTTGTGTATGTAGTGCTGGGAACTAAAGTCAGGTCCTCATGTGTGCTGGGCAAGTGCTCTGCCACTAAGCTATTCCTTTGCCCCAGGACTGGGTTTTAAAAGGATAAACTGATTGTGTAATTCAGATTTCTTCAATCTGATATATATGATTGCTGTGTACTGTATGTTGTAATTAATGTGATACCACCTAATTAGAAATTATTTTGAGTAGTGTTGGTTAATTCACTCACCTCGCTAAGTTTCCGGCTCTACGTGGTGCTCAGTAAATGTTGAACAGACACATGAATGTAATAGTGTTGTTTCTGTTATTACCAGGAAGAGGAGAAGTGTGATGAAATTCCAGAATGCTCTGAACCAATTCTGGAGTTTAACAGAAGTATTAAAGTTGCTTCTACAAAATATAATGGCCCTCCATTTCCACCAGTTGTTTGTACTTCTCAGCCCACTACTGATATTCTGGATAAAGTAATTGAGAGAAAAGAAACATTAGAAAATAACTTAATTCAGTGGTGAGTTTACAGTGGTGTTGGTATGAATAGAACAAACATAAATGAAAAGTATGATTTTAGGTGAAAATCATCCTTGTCTTTGTTTATTAAACAAATCTGTTGCTATAGTCACTGGAAACGATATGTTGGAGGCATTGTTTTTGTCCTTGATTTATACTTATGCTGGCTGCTGTGGCAAAGAGGCTGCTATTGAGTTACATTCCTTAGTCTAGGGATTCACTTTCAGGAATTTATCCTAAGGAAATACTTAGGATTCTGCTACTAGGTGCTAAAAGCAAGGCAGTGATCTAAGTTCATTACACATCTACATCAGTAAGTGTAAGAGTCTGTTGTTTACATGCATATGAGTGGGAGACGAATCACATTGTATCTCTGCTTTTACTTGTGAGAAATCTTAAGGAAGCCGTGGAGGAAATAAAATAACTAAATGTGAATTGTTATTAAATTTAGGTCTAGAAAAAGATTTAATAATATTGAAAGATATTAATAATATGTTTATGGACAAATGAAGTAGGATACTAATGAATCTTAGCAATTCAGTTTCTAAGGCCTTACTCAAAAATAAATGTGCACATAATGAATGAAAGTTTGGAAACATATACATAACTGTGTTTATCCCTGGATCTAAGATTATGGTTTAGGCTTCTCAAGTTAAAAAGACTTGTATATATTTTCTGAATTTTCTTTTTTTTTTTCCTTTTTTTCCTCTCTCTCTTTTTTTTTTTTTTTGGTACCGGGGGTCGAACTCAGGTCCCTGTGCTTGCGTAGCAGGCGGCGAAACCACTGAGCTAAATCCCCGGCCCTGAATTTTCTTTTGCTTTTTTTTTTTGTGTTGGGGGAGACAGCATCTCACCATATAATTCAGGCTGGCCTTGAACTCACTGTGCAGCCACAGCAGTCCTACCTCAGCCTCTAAAGTGCTGGGATTATTGGTGTGCACCACCACATCTGGCATATATTTTCTGAATTTTCTACAATGATGTCTATCATTTATATGGTAGTAATTTTTAAGAAGTCTATTAGCTATTCTAAAGAAATGTACCAGAAGTATATCTCCTATTCTTTTTCCCTTTCCCTTCCTCTTCTCCTTGTTGAAAATTACCATGGAAATAAATTTTTTCTCAACTTCTTTAGACGAAAACTACCCTGTTTTGCAGTCTGTATATTTATTTCCTCAAGGAGAAGGCAACTGGAGTTTTTTCCTAGCTCTGACATACTGTAATAGGGTTTTATATGAGGTGTGATTGAAAGTGTAGCATTTTAAAATCAAAGTTATTACATTAAAAGACAAATTGCCATTAACCCCTCTCAAAATTCTCCCTCTCACTTGGCAAGCATAAACTTATCTCATTGTTCTTGCCACTTCTCAAACAGCTTTGGAAGTCCTCTTTTGTCAGTGTCTTTAGTGGTACTGTTATGGCTGCCTTGATGTCCTGAATTCATTAAAAATATTTACCTTTTGTGGTCATTTTGACTTTGGAGACAAGTCAGAAGGCTCACAGTGCCAGATCTGGTACATGAGGTGGAAGAAGACACAGTGTAATGTTTTTATGAGCCTGCCTTTCCGATGGGTGACACTGGCAGCAGCATTCATTGAATTTTTGACCACACTTCGTAAGGACACTCACAGAAGCGGACTTCCAGAACTGCTTTAGAAGGTGGCAAGAATACTGGGATATGTTCTAATTGAAGGGGGATCTTTCAAGGGGGATTAATGGTGATGTGTCTTTTACTGTAATAAATATTTTAAATTTAAGCATTCACTGTATTTTTTATCATCCCTTGTATATGTGCTCTGAGAGTGGGAATCACATCTTTCAGGTGCATGATGTGCCAGATAGTTTTTCTTTTTTTTCTGTCTTTTTTTGGTACCAGAGATCAAACTCAGGTCCTTGCAGTTGCGAGTCAGGCGGTAGAACCACTGAGCCCGCCAGATAGTTTTTGACCTAATTCCTTGAATTTAAGGGTCTTGTTAAGCTTCTCATTAGACTAATAGAAAAGATTTTAATTTGACTTCATGAAGTATTTCCTACAAGGAGATTGTTTCTTGGGGTTTTTCCTCTTAGAATATTTGTTCTTTTCTTCTTTCCAGATACTTTTTGATGACGGCTTTCATATGTAAATGCTTGTGCCTATGAGTAAAGGTGACTCTTAAGGGTGATATGTTTAGCATTTTATATATTTTAACCAAACTTAAGATTCCTTAATTTGTATTCCTCCAGGGTGGAACAAGAAATAATGTCAAGAATTATCTCTGGGCGCTTTCCAGTCCCCCAACAGACCAGACTTACTACCAGTGTCTCCGTCAGTGAGGCCAGTGAGCCATCCACTCCTGATCTCGGTAAGGGGAATGAGGTCTCTGTTACTGTTATTGGTATTGATTTTAGCCTGACCATGTGTATCCCTAAAAACCCAGCTACTCGGGCAGCTGAGGCAGGAGAATCTCAAGCCTGAGGCCAGCCTGGGCAACTTAGTGCGACCCTGTTTCAATATAAAAATATTTTAAGGACTGGGGATGTAGCTCAGTGGTAGAGCATTTGTCTAGTCTGTGTGAGAGCTGAATTTCATCCGTGGTAGAGCAAAAAAACAAAAACAAAAAACAAAAGGGAAAAAACTTTTAGTTTATTGGAGATTTATGTAGCTCAGAGGTAAGTCCTCAGCTGACAGGATAATTCCTGCCTTCCTGCCTTCCAGTCTAACTGCCTGGTCCAAGGGGTGTGTGTGTGTGTGTGCGTGTGTGTCCAGGTCTCCCTCACTGCTGGTTCCTTCTCTGCAGCAGAAACTAGGTTTCGCTCCCTCCTCAGTCCTTCACCAGTCCATAAGGTACTCAGGATTGACACTGTTCCTTCTTTTATGCCTAGTCTTTAACTGATACCTATTAAGATTCGTAAGTATCCACTGAATGCTTAAGTGAGACTTTTCTTTAAGGAGTTGATGGCCTTTTTCTTTTGTCCTCCCTACTTCTCCATTTCCTTCCTTCCTTCCTTCCTTCCTTCCTTCCTTCCTTCCTTCCTTCCTTCCTTCCTTCCCAGGATCTTGCTGTGCAGTTCAGGCTGACCTTGAACTCACTGTGTAGCCTAGGCTGGCCTTGAACTCATGATGATCCTCCTGCCTCGGCCTCCCAAGTGCTGGGATTACAGGCATGCAGCACCACACCTGGGTCCATTAGCTTTTTTGAGATTATAATATCTTGCCTTAAAATTTGCTATTTCTGTTGTTTTGACAAATACACACACTATATATTAGCTGCACAGTCATGATATAGAGAAACATTTTCATCTTTTGAAGCTCCTTTATGCCACTTTACTGACAATTACTAACCCTTACCTATGCCAAGTGCCCCTTTGCATCTATTGGTCTGCTTTCTATCACTATATTTTACCTTTCCTAAATTTTAAACATGTGTAATCCTACAGTATATACTTTTTTATTGACTGACTTCTTTCACTTAGCATAATGTTTTGACAATCATTGTATTGCATGTGATAATTCTATGGGTGTGTCATAATTTGTTAGTCCATTTGCAAATTAATGGACATTTATAGTAATCTAGTTTTTGTCTGTTATAAATCTGCTAGGAATATTTGCAGACAAATTTTTGTGTAAACATTTTCTTTTAGTTATATGATAAATAAATCTATAAGAAATAGTAAATTTTTTAAGGGGGTATACTGTTTTGTATTCTGAGCAGCGTTGTGTAAGAATTCCAAACTTTCTGCATCTCCACCAGCACTGGTATTGTCAAGAGTTTTTATGGTAGCCATTTTGTCATGAGTGGAGACAGCTCATTGTGGTTTTTATTTATATCTTCTTAGGTATACCAGTGAGTGAGTAGTTATTAGTGATGACTGATGGTACTGAAGAAATTTTCGTGGGTTCTGCTCTGTATTTACTTTGGAGAAATATTTCAAATCTTGTGCTCACTTTTAACTTGGGATTTGTGTCTTTTTTTTTTGGTACCAGGAATCGAAATTTGTTCTGTATTGTTCTTTTTTTTTTTTTTGATACTGGGGATTGAACTCTGGTCCTTGCGCCTGCAAGGCAGGCGACTGAACCACTAAGCTAAATCCTGGCCCTGTTCTTTATTCTTGATAGAAGTTCTTTTTTGGATATGTGTGCTGGAAATATATTCTGGTTTGTGTCTTGCCCTTTTGCTTTCTCAGTATTACCTTTTGAAGCACAAAAGATTAATTATTGTGTTGAGATAGGATCTCACTATGTAGTTCAGGGTGGTCTTGAACTTACCGTAGCCCAGGCTGGCATGTGCCCCTATGTCTGGCTCCCAAAAGATTAATTTTGATGAAGTCTAATTTATTATTTTTTCTTTTATAGTCTGTGTATCTTTGGGAGCATACTGCTTGAATCTCTGCCTAACTTGAAATCCTTAAGATTTTCTCCCTTGTTTTTTTTCCTAGAATATGTGTGACTTTAGATTATGCATTTTAGGTCAGTCCCCTCCACCTCATGCTTAGGGATTACACCTAGGAGCCTTGTGCCTGCTGTGCACATGGTTTACCACCTGGCTACACCTCCAGTTCCTATATAGCATAATTGGAGTTGAGTGCTGTATGTAGAGTGAAGTGAGGATTAAGATTCCTCTTCTTTCCTTTTTTTTACATATGAATTACTAATTGTACTATTTGTTGAAAAGATTATTCTTTCTCCATTGAACTACCTTAGCTCCCTTGTTGAAAATCAGTTGGCTACATATGTACAGATCTGTTTCTGGACTTTCTGTCCTGCCCCATTCATCTACAAGTTTTTCTTTACACTAATGCCGCATTTCTTGATTATATAATTTAACAATAAGGAAATCAGGTAGTATAAGTTCTCTAACTTTTTTGGGTAATATTTCTATGAAACATTACCTGTACTTTTTCCTTCTTTCCAATCTCAGAATAACTTCTCCCTCCTTTCCTTCAGAATCTCTATCCACTACTTTTACTTTCTTATTGCCCACTTTCTCTCTGGTCTATGCGGGTTGATTTTGTACCCTCTGCTTCAAGAAACTTCTTCCTCATAGCACTTTTCAAACTCTTGCTCTACTAGCATGGGTACTGTTGAGCACCTCTAATTCTAAGGGTTCTATGGGCTTTTGGCTTCTGTTTTCTCATTCTGTTCTACCTGCTGTCTTTTTTAGCTTGAAGACTTTCATTTTCTCATTTTATTTTCTGGTAGCTGAACAAAATTATTTCCCAAGTTTTCTGTTTTTCCAATTTCTTCTTACCATTAGTTATCCTGTGTCATTGATGACTTCTAGGCCAACCCTAAGTTATAAACTTACAGTTCTGCCTGTTGATGAACATTCTACGTGATGGTCTCTTGGCATCCCAAATTTGGCATGTCCAAAATGTGTCTCATTTATCTACCCGTACCTGCTCTGTCTCTGCTTTCTATTTCTGTTAATGATAGCGTAATTTCCCCAGCACCCAATCTGCAAATCCTTGGCGTTATTGTTTTTATAACAATAACAATAACTATATCATTATTATTGTTATTCTCCTCTTCAATCCCCACTCATTACAACTTGCGTCTCAGCTCCATACATTTTATTGTTGCATTTGGTTAATTATTCCCATTTAATATAATGGTCACCTGTCCTACTGTTGCTACCTCAGGTTTTCATTCATCTTATTCTTTCAAGGAAGGAAAAAAATGACCAACAAAGTTACAAGAAAATTGAAGTTTTTCTGGATTAAAAAATCTTAAAAATTTCTCAGATTGGGTGTTTAGATCTTTTTTTTCCCTCTCTATAACCAAGTGTGCTTGCTTTTGTCTTGCTAATGTCTGGAGAGGGCTTTTGGGCTTTATGACTGAGATGTTTTTTGTCATGCCAAAACAATGAATTATGGAAACTAAAAAAGAGGTGTATGGGCATATTTTGTCCAATATTAAGTTTGAGGTTTTAAAAACTCTGCTGTGGTGACTGCAGAGTAAATTGCTGTCACTTATCCCCACTAAGTGATCCAAGACACCTGTACACCTGTTAGAGAATTCTGCATACTGCTGCTATCCTTGTACTACTAAAAGTATCCATCGTATTGTACAGATCATTGCTCACACATTTCTACATAGAGATTTAAGTTCAGTAAAGTCCCTAAAGAAATTTTTGCTTAATTTTATATAATTCATATAAATGAAAAATGCAACCCATTGGAAAATTAACATCTCTATGGAGTATGTCCTCGTAACAAGCACCAACACTGCTATAGATGTTTGGAGAGGAGGTTTAGCCTTTAATTTTAATAACTGGTACATCTGAGGCTATCGGGAAGGAAAATTTGTCTTATACTTATTGAGTACTTGTACTTTTGACCAAGACTGGACATATAAATTGTTTTCAGACAAGGACATTGAATATGGATGCAAATCCTTTTTATTATTAAATTCTATAGTGGGGGGAAGAGGCCATATAAATAAATTTTCATCTCTATGTTTTTCTCCCCCTTTTGGTTTGTTGAGAAAGGATGTTCATTATTCAAGTTATTATCTTAGTCTCTCTGATTGTAAGTTGTATTTTCATTTTGATTCCTTTTTCTACCTCCTTATGCACTTATATTGCCATCTGTAAAAATGTAAGCGCTAAGGTTTAGAATACAAGTGTGTTTCTTGCCCACTTACTCTGAAAATCTTTTATTTGTAGTGGAAGGAACATGTGGCGGTGCCCTGCAGCTTTTTGTTGATGCGGGGGTTCCTGTGAATTCAGACACGATTAGGCATTTGGTAAATGAAGCTCTTGCTGAGACCATTGCTGGCATGCTGGGCGACAGAGAATCGAAGAAACAAGGTCATGGTGCTACGAGTGTTTCTGGTGATATCTCAACAAGTGAAACACCCTTGCTGGTAGGAGTGACTCTTGTTTTGTGACTTATAGTTCTGGGGATTTTTGACATAGTTATTAAAGAATGATAAAACATTGTAAACTGCATATCATCAGATCGTGGTTTATGGTAGAATTTTATTCCTTGATGCTATAATTAAAGTAACATTTTCCCTAAAAAATTTAAATCTACAGAAAAGTTAAAAATATGATACAATGATAAAAAAACCCCACAAAGCAACAAAAATATGATACAATGAACATCTGTATATCTTTTACCTATATGTCACAATTGATAGCATTTTGGCGCATTTAATAACCTGTCTTTATATCTGTTATAAATTACATACCTTTAAAAACCTTTTGGGAGTTGCAGATATCATTACACTTTACTTCAAAACCATTGGGAGTACCAATTAAGAGTGAGATACTTTCTTATATAACCAAAATCTCATTTTAATACCTCCCAAATTTAACGTTGATATGTTAATAATATAGAACTGGAGACCATATTCAAAATTTCCCTAGCTGTCCCAAAAGTGTCCTTTTTTCTTTTTTCTTTTTTGGTACCGAGGATCGAACTCGGGTCCTTGTGCTTGCGCAGCAGGTGGCAAAACCACTAAGCTAGATCCCCGGACCAAAAATGTCCTTTTTTAAAACTTAATTTTATTGGTACATTTTAGGTATACAATATAATGACATTCATCATTGGGAATTTGTACCTTTACATACTCTATCTTGGTTCTTACTTTTTCCCCTTCCCCTGCCCTCCCTTCAACCCCTCCGTCCCTCCCTATTTACAAAGACTTTG